AACGACTGAGTCACCCAGGCGCCCCTTTTTTTAAAGATTTTATTTATTCATTCATTCATTCGAGAGAGAGAGAGAGACTGACAGAGAGAGCACAAGCAGGGGGAGAGGCAGAGGGTGAGGGAGAAGCAGACTCCGCACTGAGCTGGCAACCCAACGTGGGACTCAATCCCAGGACCTGGAGGTCATGACCTGAGCCGAAGGCAGACGCTTAACCTCTGAGCCACCTAGATGCCCCTAATTTTTATTCTTTTTAAAAGTAATGAGAAGCTATAAAGTTAAGAAATGATCCAGGGAGGGGAGACACAGACTTGAACCTCATTTCCCATAGTTTTGCCCAGGCCCTGAGCCTTACCTGACCTTGGCTGGTCAGGTTCCGATTTCCCATGCCCTTCTTTCCTTCCTATTGTGGGTACAGGAGGGGCTGCAGATTCATTTCCCAGAGCTCTCTTCATTGTCTTCTTTTGCAGGGTCACATCTTGTCCATCTGTTAGACCTGCATCACCCCCACCCCCCAACCATGAAGGACATTTGTTTATTTCTCTCTAAATGACAGTTTGGCAAGGGTCCATGGACTCCCCACAGTTAGTCTCTGCCCTGCATCCTCTGCTCATTCTCAATCTAGTGAGTTCTCTCGGTTCCTTCCTTTTTCCCAAATATTTCTCTTTGTTTCTCTCTTCCTCCCTCTCTCTCTCTACCCCCCGTCCCCACCCCCCACCCCCACCTTTTTCGTTCTGGACCTTCTTCTTCTTATATTTTTCCTCATAGCCTGGCTCCTCCAGGAAGTCATCCTTCTTGGCTAAGAATTTAAGACATTCATTCCACCTTTAACTTAAGATTTTATAATCAGAACAGAGAAGCGAGGAGGTTACAGCTTCCCTGGTGACACTAGTAAGAATCTTGACCATTTTTGCAGAGTTTAGAGCTGAGACAGTAGTAAGATCCGGTGACCTGCAGACCCCTCCCACTGTCTGCTTCTGCTCTGCCTTAATGGCCACATATACCTGTTCCCAGCTGGCTTGCTTACCTCTTGCCTTGAGTTTTTTGGTCTGAATTTTGGCTGGCTTGGGACTGGGCAAAGTCGGGTCCTGAGAATGGGAGAGAAAAATAAGAAAATACAAATGAAGTCATATAATTGTGTTTTTAATAGAGTGGGATGCTACAGAAATGATGGGTGGTTAGGGGAGTCACATTGGGTTCTGCAGCCTGATACTGTTTAAATCAATGACAACAAAGATAAAACTGTTCTCCTTTCCATTCTATTTGGTATTAGTCAGTACAAGGCTTTATGCACAAGAGAAAGAAATAAAGTTAGGCCATGAACATGATTTAAAAAAAACTGTTAAATTAAAAGTTAAACCAATAACTAGACTCTTAGTGTTGATCACTTCATAGTGCATGTAGATATTGAATTACAATGTTGTACCCCTGAAACCTATATAATGTTACAGGCCAATTTTTCCTCAATAAGAAAATGATTAAAAGAGAAAGTAAAAAATCTGTATTTCAGGACTTCCCGTTTCCAGTTATACATGTAAGGGGTTTGGAAGTCATCACTCTGTTCTAACAACAAGTAAAAAAGCTGAACAGACTGAAAAATCAACAACTCTTTTTGTTTTGATCAAAGAGGGAAGGACACAGGGTCACCAACCCTGAAGAGACAGAGAGGCAAATGCAGGAAGACATAACTTACCAGAGCACAGACTCAGAAGCAGAAGAACCAGTACTTCTCACAAGAACCAGTTCCAGGGCAAGAAAACCTCAACAGTACTAAATAAATTGTTCAGTGCAGACAAGTCTGGGAGTTAAAAACTCCAGTGGTGCCCAGTCTTATAGGTGCTCCCAGACTTTTGTGAGTTTGACCTCCAGGAATCTGACCAGGTTCTCACATAAAATATCAGAGAAAAATCCCTTCATGCTTCCAGCAGGAGGAGTGCAAAAGGAACCATTTTGAAATATACCAGAGCACTCTATCCTTCTGACAAAGGCCTGCTCTCAGGAGAAACTAGTTAACCACAGCCTAATCTACTGGGATATTATCAGAGCCTGGCCGTCCAGGGGGAAGAGAAATATTTAACCCCAGCCCACTCTAACCATCCTGTCCCACCTAATCGGGGGTGTGTGTGTATGGGGGGGAAACACTAAGAAACACTTTGAAGTTCACAGTCCAGAGCACACGTTCATTAAAGACATAAGATCTAGGGTTCGCTGGCTGGTTCAGTCAGAAGAGGGTACAACTCTTGATCTCAGGGTTGTGAGTTCGAGCCCCACATTGAGTATAGAGATTACTTAAATAAGTTAAATTTTTTAAAAAAGAAAAAAGACATAAGACCTAATAGTAGGACTATAGAACACATCCCCTCCCCTGACCCTTATGACCACATTACTAAAGGCATATTTATGGGTGCCTGGGTGGCTCAGTTGGTTGGGCGTCTGACTCTTGATTTTTGGCTTGGGTCATAATTTCAGGGTTGTGGGATCAAGCCTGAATCAGGCTTCACATTCAGCAGGGAGTCTGCTTAAGATTCTCTCTCCCCCTGCCCCTATCCCCACTCACACACTCCCTCCCTCTCCCCACCTAAAATAAATAAATAGATCTTAAAAAAAAAAAAGGCATATTTACAACTGTTTCTTTTACCTGGTACATTGTGTCTGGCAATCAAGAAAAAAACTACAAGGCATATCAAAAGGCAAAAAAAAAATTTGAAGAGACAGAACAAATATCAAAACCAGACATGGCATGGAATTATCAGATTGGAAATTGAAATCAAATATGATTAATATGCAAAAGGCTCTAATGGATAAAATAGCATGCAAGAACAGATGGGCAATGTAAGCAAAAGGATGAAAATCCTAAGAAAGAATCAAAAGAGAGTGCTAGAGATCAAAAACATTGTAATAGAAATGCAGAAAATGTCTTTGATGGGCTTATTAGTAGACTGAGCATGGACAAGGAGGAATCCCTGAGCTTGAGGCTATCTCAACAGAAAACTTCAAAGCTGAAACCAAGCAAAGGGAACAAAGACAGAAAAAAAAACCCAAAAAACTAACATATCCAAGAATTGTGGGATAACTGTAAAATGTGTAACATATGCACAATGGGAATACCAGAAGGAGAAGAAAAAAAGAAAGAAACCCAAGAAATAATTAAAAACAATAATGACTGAGAAGTTTCTCAGACACCAAACCACAGATTCAGGAAGCTCAGAGAACACCAAGAAGGATAAATGCCAAAGAACCACATGTAGGCATGTTATCTACAAACTATAAAAAATCAAAGATAAAGAAAAAGCCCTGAGGATTAAGGAGTACACTTATTGTGATGAGCACCGGGTGATGTATGGAAGTGCTGAGTCACTAGAGTGTACACGTGAAACTAATATTAGTTAACTGCCTGGAATTTAATAACTTTAAAAAAAGAAAAAGCCCAGAAAAAGCCAAAGGAAAAGAACATCTTAACCTGATATGATAAGGAAGGGGAGAAAATAGAATCATATAAAATGCTCAGTTAAAAACACTTGCAGGGTGGGGAGGGGCACCTGGGTGGCTCAGTCAGTTAAGCACCCAACTCTTGGTTTTGGCTCAGGTCACGATCTCAAGATCATAAGATCAAGCCCTGAGTGGGGCTCCACCCTGAGCATGCAGCCTGCTTAAGATTCTCTCTCTCCCTCTTACTCTGCCCCTCCCCACCACTTGCACACACACTTTTCCTCTCTCCAAAAACAAAACAAAACAAAAAACCACTTGGAGGGTGCCTGCCTGGCTCAGTTGGTAGAACATGAGACTCTTGATCTCAGGGGTTTTAAGCTCAAGCCCCACGTTGGGTGTAGAGATTACTTAAAAAATAAAATCTTAAAAACACACACACACACAGACTTAGGGCAGAAAAAGAGTGGAAAACAAAAAGAAGAAGAAAGAACAAGGGCAACAAATAGAAAATAGTAACAAATATTGTAGATATGAATCTAACTATATTAATAATTAATTTGAATGTTAATGGTCTAAATACACCAATTAAAAGACACAGATTGTCAGAGTAGATTAAAAAACAGACCAAACTATATGTTGTCTACAAGAAGTCTACTTTAAACATAAAGATATATATATATACACACTATAAAAGTAAATAGAAAAATGCACCATGCCAATGCTAATCAAAAGAAAGCAGGAGTAGCTATGTCATTTCAGACAAAGCAGATTTCAAGGCAAGGAAAGTTATCAGGGATAAAGAATGGCATTACATAATGATAAAGGGGTCAATTCTCCAAGAACATACAACAATCCTTAAAGTGAGCCTAACAACAGAGCACCAAACCACATAAGGCAAAAACTGACAGAACTGCAAAAAGAAATAGTTGAATCCACTATCATTGCTGGAGACTTCAACACCACTCTATCAAAAATGGATAGATCCATGGACAACAGAATATCTGGAAGGACGTAGCTGAACTCAACAACACCATCAATCAACTGGATATAAGTGACATCTACAAGTTACTTCATTGTATTCAATAGCAGAATACATATTCTTCTCAAGCTCACATGGAGCATTCACCAAAATTTATTGCATTCTGAGCCATAAAACAAAACTTAACATATTTAAAATAATAGAAATCATACAGTGTCTGCTCCCAGACCACAACACGGTTAAACTAGAAATCAGTAACAGAAAGATAACTAAAAAGTCCCTAAATACATAAAGATTAAATGACATACTTCTAAATAACACATGGGTCAAAGAAGAAATCTCAAGAGAAATTTTAAAATATGGAACTAAATGAAATTTAAAATATGAACTAAATGAAAAAGAAAACACAATTTATCAAAATTTGTGGGATACAGCAAAAGCAGTACTTAGAGGGAAATTTAGCATTGAACACATATATTAGAAAAGAAGAGAGATCTAAAATCAGTAGTCGAAGTTTCAGCCTTGGGAAACTAGAAAAAGAAGAGCAAGTTAAATCCAAAGTGAGCTGAAGATTGAATGAAGTGATGACAGAGATCCCTGAAGCTTTTTCTAAAAATTCTTAATTTCTCTGTGTGGCTCCTGAGTGGACAGCACTTTCCCTATGGTCCTTTGCCCTTAATTGCTGAGCCTAGCAGGATGAAATTAAGTTCTGGAAGGCATTTAGAGGTCATGAGGTCACCTGGCCTAATCTCTTCATTTTACAGATAAGCAGATCTGGGGTTTCAGATATTGTGACTTCCCTTAGGGCCACACAGCTAGGCTGGCCTCTTGGCACTGTTTTCTGAAATTCTTCCAGCAAATACTGCTTGTTAGCAAAGTGAGCCTTGTGTTTCCCCACCACAATTCCCAATTAGTGTTTGACTTGATTCCTCAAATAGTTTTTCACCTTCAAAAATCAAATAAATTAACAGTTAAAATTTTTAAAAAGGTGAGCTGAAGAAAAGAAATAATAAAAATTGGAGTAGAACTGGGTATTTACCCCAAAGATACAAAAGTAGGGATCCGAAGGGGTACGTGCACCCCGATGTTTATAGCAGCAATGTCCACAATAGCCA